GTTCAATTCATGATATTCTATTACACGTGTATATATTAGTCAAAGTTGAACAAATTATAATTACCAAATTTATCATACAGTAAAATACCAAAACTAAACTTTAATATTCTAAACCATACCAAATTAAATTAATATGATAATAATACAACGTTTTAAAATCGAATATTAAAACCATATCAAATGTTTTCGATATTCACATGCAAGGGGGAGAAAAATGACAGTCTTATCTTTGTTCTTTTTAACATATTAATATTTTCACTTTAATTCAATATTTATTAATCACTTCCAAGTTAAGCTAAAACGACTAGGATTATCATTATCTTTTTTCCTATTGGAGTTTCTGTCATGATAGGGAGTAGGTTGGTGTTTTTAAAAATCAAAAGCACACTGCTTACATTAAACAAACTAGCTACATATAAACAACATATATATTCAATGTACGTAATTCCATAAATAAAAAATCTAGAGAGAACAAGATGTATGCATATATTATGTCTATCTTTAAAGAAATAGTTTTTAATAGACGTAAATAAATTAACAGATAGTGCTAGTTAAGGAAATATATACCAAAAAAATACTTTTGAATTTAATTATTTTATATGTTTTTAAGTCAAAATAAATTATAATTTTATAGTGTTTGAATATAACAAAAAAATATTTTAAAACATTATTTTAAAACCAGAATTACAATAGGTCAAAAATCATAAGTCAAAGATCTTTACTATTAACACTTAACTTATAAGCTAAGTTATAAACTCATTCAAATGGGCTTTAAAATAGTTTTTGAGAATTGAGGTTAAATTGATACAACTTCGTCGGCAGAAAATGACCTTTAATTTATTGTCTAGAATAGTGAAGATCTAGAATTATTATTATTGTTTAATAATAACAAAACTTAATCAAAAATAATTAAAACACATGGAATTAGTGGAAACATATACCACATATATAATAAGTACAAAGGTTAAAGTTAAATTCAAATTAACGTTAATCCAAAAATTTGGATAATTGGAAATCCAGCAAGATATGTGGACATGAAAGTGGACCCATAGGAATTAATCATTTGATTGTAAGAGTAATTATATATATTGATAGCGTAAAAGGGTATTAACATAATTTAATTTATTATAATAACATAAATCTTATTTTTATTGAGTTAATTATAATGAATCAAGTTATAATAAAATTTTACTTGTAATAATAACCTTATAATTATTTTAGTCGTGTAACTATTATTTTTACACCGTTTATGCATAAAACATAAATTATTTAGGCAGAAAAAAAAAGTATAGTATTAAGAGAGCGCTTTGCCCACGACAATTATAGCATATGTAATTTGAAACATAAATATTTTTGTCCTCCAATTTCCAAATGCTCTCAAAAATATACTTTTACGAAAGAAAAACTTAGAATGACAGAATAAAGTGTGACATGATATGTTAATTTTAATGTCAATAGAAGTGACACAATAAGAGGTAATACACTGAAGATGAAAAATATTTTTTAACTTTTCCTGTTTAATTTAGTTGATCTAAATTTTAAAATAAAAAATTTAGGAAAATTAATTCCTTTAAGAGAAATTTAAAAACTTTTTTATGATAATTAGGCGTAACAATTTTTTTTAGTTACCATCCCTCGTTTTCCCTTTGCCCTACTTTTGTAGTTTATAACATTTGTCTAGATTAAATGAAAATTACTTTTTTTTATTTAAAAAAAATATTTTATGTAAAAATTATTTTTTTTCATATCAAACACATTTATTTATTTACAAAAATTCATATAATGGCTTCAAATATTTATGGGTCTCTATTTTGGTCTACTTGTTGTTTTTTTTGAAGTCCCTACCAAGTACTAATACTTTGAATTGAAATAGATCAAGTTGTGAGAAGGGGCATGAATATAAATGAATAGGGTTTCAACATTCATGCACTTTCCAGAAAAAGCCAATTACTCAAGATTGGATATATATGTGTGTGCAACCTTCAAAAATATTTAAAAAATCATTTTTTTTAAGAAAAGGATTAATTAACTTAATTTTATAGTAGGGAAGATATCTTATAATATCGTCGATCAATATAACTTAATTTGCTGTAGCATACTTCTTATTTTATGATATTATTTTTGAGAAAATTATATATAATAACAAATTAATAATCTAAAATAAATAAAGTAGCTAGGGTTTAATTTAATTGTGCTCCATAGCAAACGTTTGCAAAAAATTGTCAGGCGCCTCTCCTCCAAATATCTCGCTCGCCACTCTCCTCCAATTTCTCACTCGCTTTCTCACTTTTTATACAAACACAAGTGTATAAAATTTCCAATTGTATAAAACAGAAAAAATTGTATAAATATATATATATTTGTTCTCCTCTCTTCCAGATCTCGCTCGCCACTATCTCAAATCTCGCTCGCCACCCTCGCCTTTCTCACTTATACAAACAGAAGCGAAATGTATAAATTGTGTTTCTGTTTGTATAAAGCGTGAGAAAATTGTATATACACATGCAAGTACATATATTTTTGTCCTATAAACTTATAATTATACAATAAATTGTGTTTCCTTGTCAAGTCTCTTTTGTTTTTCTCTCTTTATCATTTTGTACAAATTCAAATTGTACATAATCGTTTTATACACTTATAATAATACAATTCGTTTTATATACTTCATTTTTGTTCTCTGCCCAAAGTGTCTTTCTCTTTCTTGTTTTATATACTTCATTTTATACAATTTGCTTCAACTGTATATGTATAACGAATTATACAGTTTCTATGTTTGCTATGGAGCACAATTATGCAAACTTTGTTATAGCATACAAATATGAATTTTTTATTTGATATATGTAAAAGTTGCCCATTATTTTTCAGGTGATCTGATATATATATATATATATATATATGGACAATTACAGAAATTTCTCAAAACGGATACAATAATATAAGCAATGATATATTAATTCAATGCGCGAGATACATTAATTTGATGTGTGAGATACACTAATCTGATGCACGAGGTATATTTTATACATGATACACTATTATGATACGCAAGATATTTTAATTTGATGCATGAGATACACTAATTAATCTGATGTGCAAGATACACTAATCTGATGTGCTAGGTACATTTTATACATGATATACTAATTTGATGCGTGAGATACACTAATTTAATACGTGAGATACATTGATATAATGCATGAAAATATGAAATTTCAAAAATTTATAAAATTCACAAGGGATAATAATAATAAGTATATTATAATATGAAATTTCCATAATTAATCGCAAATGGTGGACATATGGATATTAAACTCTTTTTTAAAGGTACCATGTTGTCATACAAAAATGCCAAATATGTAATACCCCAGTAGTACAGGTGAAAATTAAGTATAGATATGGCATTTAACTAGCCATTGTAAAGTGGGGCTAGTATTGCCCTCCTTCCTAACGACATATTCTTTCGAACTTTATATCAATCAAATAATAGATTATAGAAATAGCTATTTTCCCTACCCCAAAGATTATAGAGTACGAAAGTGGACCAATAGTAATATTGTCAAGTTAAATTGAACAATTAACTTTTTATATCAAATCTGACATGATAATCTGATAAATGAAATAATTAAAACTTAAAAGTTTCATGAATCTCGTATGTTGATCGAAGTTACGATAATATCATTGAATCCTAATTTGTCAGACTTGATCATTAAATTTCACAAATAATGGCATATTGAATTTTATCGATAATATAAAAGTATCATTTACATTATTAGAATGTTAAATATATATACATTAACTTAAATTCATTTGCTTTTATTTTTTTTCCTCTATGTTTTGTGTGGGGAGGGAGATGGTTTAATTTGTGGGTCTGGCCTAGATTAAATGTGTAGTTTAGATGTCATTATAGCTTATCTAAAGGATCAAAGTCATCAAAAACAAGATTTAATCAGAGTACAAGGGTAGTTAATTAACAATTGTGTTAATTATACTAAACATTCATAATAACTCGATTTCGAATAAACTTTTTTATGTTTTTCTTTTTAACTATATCATGAAAATCCTAGACTCACTCCCCCACCCCCACCCCAACCAAATTTGACTCCTCTATTATCTCTAGTGGTGGTAGCACCTTGTCAAGTCTTTTTAATAATAATAGTCATTACTACTACGTTGTAATTGTGATAATATTATGTATAAAAAGTCAAATAAGTACTAAAGTCACTAGGAAGTTGTATGCTTCTCTTTTGTACTTCTTAAAACTTTTGAAATCATTGAAGTTGGTAAGCAAACGTATACTTCCCAAATTTATGTATGATTTTTTTAGTGTTTGTGGCAATGGTCGAAGATCTACACTATGTTTGTTTTATTGCTTCCATCAATTTAGAACCACTTATATATGTAGTGCGAGAATTTTCTATATATTGATAGATATATAGATATAGAATATTCTATTTTGATCACAATGGTATACATAATTTTGAAATATCACAACTATTTACTTTAATTATAGTAATATAATTTGTGAGTCTGTAACTTATTTGAGATTGTGATGTGTGGATGTCTTCGATTACGCTTTACACCTAAGGACTTTGGATCTAGAAAATTTGATTGAGAGTTAAGACAATAAACAAAATCAAAACTTAATGAATAATTAGAGATTTAAATTTATATGTGTGATATGATTTTAATTTGATTAAAAAGACTTTATGTCAATATCCTATCATAAGTAGACCACACCCACGTGATGACCTCGTGTATACATGAAAACGATATATTGCCCAACTTTCTTCTAGTTAGCTCCTATTAGTAATGAAAGTGAACTATATATGGGAGCCTAATTCCTAATCATTTTCTTCCCCTTATATATGATTCCCAAATTGTTGAATTTTTCATAAAACTTTCTATTATATTATATTATACTAATCAAAATGGATTTCTTGAGTTGTCAAACTCAAAAAATTCATTTAAAATGTCACAAGAAAAGACTCAACCAAGATCAAATGAGGCTCTTAGAGATTAGCTTCAGCTCGAATAACAAGCTTGATTCCGATAGAAAATTTCAACTTGCCCAAGAACTAGGGTTGCCACCTAGGCAAATCGCAATATGGTATCAAAACAAGCGAGCACGATGGAAAAGTCAAAGCCTTGAGGTTGACTATAAGACCTTGCAACAAAGACTAGATAATGCCCTTGAGGATAATGAGAAGTTGAAATTGGAAGTTGAGAGGCTAAGAAAAGAGCTAAACAAAAATCAAGAAGTGTTGTTGGGATTCAACACCACAACTACTAATAATTATTCATCAATTTCAAGTTCTTGTGATGAAGTTGGGAGTACTTCATGTTTGCAACTTCATGATCAATCCAAGCATAATCATCTTGATAAGGATTTTTATGCTTGTTTAATTGGTGATGAAGGTCACTTTGGGACACATGATGGGCATAATTTCTTTGCTTCATCTTTGTCTTGATAAGCTACATATGTATATGGTAACTAATTAAGTCCAAAAACTGAAGGATGTTTATCACTTTATGTGAAATGTAGTTGTGTTTTCTTCTTATATAATATTTTTAAGAAACTTTTTTCATATTTAATTTATTACCCTTTTTTCTTGTACATACAAAAAAAAAAATTTGAGTTGGACAAAACAAACAATTATGGCTAAAGAGTTTCATATTATCTTGAATGTTGATGATTCTATTTCTGGATGAAATGAGCTCTATATCTATTATGGACTTGTAAACACATATTTGACTATAAATTAATTGCGTGTTACTTTTTTATTTATATATGAAATAAATAATGAAGCTCCTAAAGTTACTCATACCTAGATTCATGATGGTTTAATTTCATTCAATTTTTTAGGTTGTTCTCAAAATATTTTTTTTCATGGAGAAAAATTCTTTTAAAAAAATGTGATTTGAAAAAAAAAGATTTTATTCATTAAAAATGTGGTAATTGAAACACTCCCTCCGTCCTTATAATTAGAAGGGAAAATTGTATACAATAGCAAACTAATAACCTAAACTAAATGGGGTAGCTAGGGTTTGATTTAATTGTGCTCCACAGTAAACGTTGCAAAAAATTGTCAGGCGTCTCGCTTGCCACTCTCCTCCAATCTCTCGCTTTCCTTACTTTTTATACAAATACAGGTGTATAAAAATTGTTTCTAATTGTATAAAACAGAGAAAATTGTATAAATATTCTCTCTCTCCCCTCTTACAGATCTCGCTCGCCACTCTCCCAGATCTCGCTCGCCACTCTCCCAGATCTCGCTCGCCACTCTCCCAGATCTCGCTCACTTATACAAACAGAAGCGAAATGTATAAATTGCGTTTCTGTTTATATAAAGCGTGATAAAATTGTATATACACATGCAAGTACATATATTTTCGTCCTATACACTTATAATTATAGAATAAAAATACTCCCCTGCCCAGTTTCTTTTACTTTTCTCTCTTTCGTTTTATACAATTCGATTCAATTGTATATTCCTTGTCAAGTATCTTTTGTCTTTCTCTCTTTCTCATTTTATATAAATTGAAATTGTATATAATCGTTCTATACACTCATGATAATACAATTCAGTTTTATACAGTTCTCTGCCCAAGTGTCTTTCTCTTTCTTGTTTTATACACTTCGTTTTATACAAGTTGTTTCAACTGTATATGTATAGCGAATTATACAGTTTCTACGTTTGCTATGGAGCGCAATTATGCAAACTTTGCTATAGCATACAAATATGAATTTTTTATTTACTATACGTGGAAGTTACCTTAATTAGAACTCTAAAAAGTAACATTGGGCCATTATTTGCTAATGGGCCTAGGAACTCTTTTTCCTATTCGTTTTTTTTTTTTTGGAATAGCTATTATTCTTTGTTTAACGATTTTCTTTTGTTGAATACGCTGGTTAATTATTGATATTAATTAAAATAATTATATGGGCATTCGAAAGAACTATGTCTATGATTATCAATGTATAAGGGGGTTAGTTGAAGGAATACTCACTTCTTACTACTCTACTAATCATCTAATTAAGAGGAGTTTTTCACATTTTGCACCCTTAAGAGTGTTCTCTTTTGTGATTCATACTTTATCCTATTCTTAAAATTTTATAATTCACATCCTAATTACCTCTTGGGTTTCTTAAAGGGATTGAAGATACTGATCAATGTATTTGCAAAAGAAAATATATTAAGGATTGATTCAAACGGGTTAAATATTAGTAATTGTTTATACGTGTGATGTTATATATAATTTTCCAAATACCAACAAAAATAAAATAACTAAAATTTTCTTCTAAAAATAAATCACAAGAGATAATTTAGCTCACAAAAAAGTAAGCACGATACATTAACTATTTGGAAAAGTCTATCCCTTTTTCTTTTTTTTCCATTTTGGCTAGCGTTTAATTTTTTTTTCATGTCAATTAAGAAAATAATAATAAATACAAGCATAATATATCAAATTATTTTTATTATATTTTTAGGATTCAAAATTATTATAAAGAACTTTTATTAAATATTAATTAGGTAATAGTTAACAATAATATCAATTTTAGTTTTGAATTATTAAAATGAAACACGTTTTTTAAATGTTAAAACGATATTTAAAATGCAACGGAGGAATATGTACACTAACATAATTTTAATATAATATTTAATTTGGATAATGATCAATTAAATTCATCAAAATTAGCATTATCGCTTCACAGTTGATAATCAACTAACTACTTATAGTAATGATGATTGACGGTTGGCGTTAAAAAGCAGGAGCATTCACATTATTTGTAACGTATTTAATGACAAAATATACAAAAGAAAATAGACAGTAACATTGTCATTTCAATGGTGAAAATAAATAGGTTTTAAACACATATAATTGTCACTTAATTATATTTAATTAATATATATCTCACTTATTAAATCACGTAATAGTGTTAAGTTTATTTTACATCAAATTATGAAAGCTTGCGCATAATTATCACTTAACAATACTTAAATAATGAAAGTTCGCACATAATTACTACTTAACTATACTTAATTAAGAATACAATTGAAAATAATTATTAATTTTAGTCTTGAATAACTAAAATAACTTATTTTAGGTTAATTTTCTAATGATAAAGTGATACTTAAAATGGAATGAAGGAGTATCTACATTCGCAATAATTCTATTGGTTAATTTGGATAATGATCAATTAAAATCACCTGAAGTGTCATATTGTTGCTTCATAATTTACAGTCAATTGTTGAATTAATACAAAGTTATAAACTACTTCTCACAGTTTTTTTTAATCTTATTTCAGTATTCACATTAAAATTTGATTAAATATAAATTTGTGTAAAAAATTTTTACACAAAAGTAAAACACGACTCTAATAAATATAATTTCATATTTAGCTTAAAAAAAAAACTTAAAATCTCTCATCAACACTAATTGAGCACTTATTATTCCGCTGCAACCGACCAACTACTTCTCACATAAACACAATCTTGCTTGAGGCATTTTATGATCAGATCAGTATATATAGTTGGATTTTGTTTATCGAGTAGAATTATTTCAAATATTATATTTAAACTTGTTAGTTAAAATTATCCTCTGGTTGAAATTCATATTTTTGAATAATTTATTTTAATTTGAATAAGTTACCCTTAAATTAAGTACTGAAATAAAAATGAGCAAAATAAATAAAATTTGCAGTCTTCGTCGGAAAATTATATCATATATACAAGTAAAATATTATATAAAATAGTTAAATAACGTATTTTGGACACCCTTAACATAAATACGGTGTTTTAGCTTAGTGATTTAAGGTGTCTTGAAAGAGCCAAGCTTTTATGAGTTCGTGAGTTCAAATCTCGCTAACAACAACTTTAAGCCTCTCTTTTATTAAAATTTTTCATGTATACTACGTTTAATTTTTCAAAAGCTTTCATGTATATTACGTGGTTAAATTTTTAAAATTTCTAGGGCACCTTTCATCTTTTTCCTTTTTTTTCCCAATTTTTTTCATGTATTAACATACTTTTTTTCAAAAAGATCTTGTATATTAGGTAGTTTAATTTTTAAAATTTCTACTTCAAACTATTTCCTTTTTTTTCATGTACATTACATTCAAAAAATTCATGTATATTATGTAATTAAATTTTTAAAATTTCTAGAGCGCCTTTTATCTTTTTCCTCTTTTTGTTCAAATTTTTCATGAATTTACATTTTTTTTCAAAAAAATTCTTGTATATTACATAGTTTAATTTTTAAAATTTGCTTTGCACTCATTCAGTCAAAAAAAAAATGTATTCGTGTATAATTTCTAGATATCCTTTGTGAAATTTTTGGCTACGCCACTACTATAGTATACATAAAAATAAAGAAACTTTAAGTATATTTAAACGAAACAAAGTAACCAGAAAGGGATAAAATACAAGACCATAGAAAGGAGATAAAAAGGATCAGAAAGCCTAAACTTTGACATAATATTTTCATAACCATTCTTCTACCTCCTACTATTTTTTAATAAATGGTTATTAGGTCTGGATCTCAAATAAAAGCACCTCTAATAGCCCACAAACCCTAACGGAGTCAGCTAGATTCACAAATTTGAAACTACAGATATCTAATTTCTTTGGATGAATTTTAGTTCAATACAAAGATGTTTATATTGCATTACCATTTTATTTTATATTATTGATGATACGAAAATCAGTAAAATTAGGGCTTTTGATTTTCTTACATAAAAATATCACTACCACATAAGTTGTAAGCAAGTACATTTGAATTGCCACTTGTCCACAAAAAGAAAATAGAAATTTTCAAAGCCATAAGGCTCCAGCTGCCCTAAGCATGGGAACAAGTTCACCCTTAACATGAGCCTCCATTACTTTATCAACACCTCCCAACAGCTTCCCACCAACATACACCGCCGGCAATTCCCACGGTCCTCCGTCGCTTCCCTCAATCTTCGATAGCTTCACTAAAATCGCGATTTTCTTCACCTCCTCTACCTCTACGATCTTTGGATTTACACCCAGTCTTTGCACCAAACCATTCACAGTCACACACATGAAGCATCCACGCACGGCCACTATTACAAGTGGATTCTCCGCCACCACCTTTAAAATCCCCGTTTTTCTCACATTTCTTTTGCTTGGATCACTGGGAGGAGGTGGTGGTGATGATGGTGATTTGCGATGAGTGGATCTACTAGATCCACCTTCGCTTCGGTGGGAAGTTGTTCTATGCATGATATCAAAAGGTAGTGAGTGAGTAATGTAAAAATTAAAAAAAAAGTGAAATATATAGAGGCGTTACAAGTAACAAGTAATAAATGGCGTAATCGAATTCATATAATCTTACTTAGTAACTAACTACTTTTAATTCAGTTTGACTTCCTCATTTTTCATTTATGGTGTTTCTTTAACTATATATGTATACTTACGCAATTGCTTGCTATAATAGAAAATAAATAAAAGAGTTTTTGTGATGATTTTTCTTTTTTTTTGAATTAAGTAATTTGATATCCTTATACGTAAATATAATTAATTTGGTTCTTATGGTTTGATTTTAATATGAATTTTTATACCAGTCCGAGCCTATACGCGAAAAACACACTACGATTAAAATTCAGTCATCTATTTTTCATTCTAAATTATGTTTAAAATTACCTTTCAACAATGATTATATACTATGTATAAGAAGTTAGTGTAACTCAATATATTTTCTCTGTCATTATTTGATTAACTACCAAGATTATAATAATAATGATAAATAATGATCTAACATATTAGCTTCATTATTTCTATAAAAATCATTTCATTAAAAGGAAAATTCTAAAGTTAATTGTTCTTAATAATTAAAAAAAATGTCATTCGTTTTAAAACATACTAATAAGAAAAGTGTTTCAGATAAACTGAAATTAGGGACGACAACATCAAACTCAAAACATTCACGTTTGGATGAGTTATTTACCTACCTATTTATTAATAAAAGCTCATTTTATAAGTTCAACTCAGTTCGACCCATAAAAAAAAAATTAAGTGATATGTAGTCCAAATTCACTTGCGAGGAATCTAATCAATCATAAATATATTTTATATGTTATATGTTTTATCATTAGATACTAAAAATAATAAGATCACTTTCCCTCCATACTATTATGGTTGTCGCTTGATAATAGATTGTTTACAAATAATAAGATTGCGTTCATTCTAAACATATATATATACTTTAAATTTTAAATTTACCTTTAAAAAGTAACACTATAAACATTCTAATGTTGTGCTGCTCTAGATTTACTCAAGTGAAATCCACCAAAAGATCCAAATTCTGTGTGTTGCTGAATTTGTCTCTGATCATCTACAATTTCTCCATCATTTTCAGTATCGGTTGATAAATATGTAACATCCAATGAAGTTTCAAAAGATGGTGAAATATTTAAAGATAATAAATTTTGTGCTAACAAGTAATTGCTTCTTTTAGCCAATTTCCTCTTTGCTTTTTCTTGCCATCTTTTTAGCCTACTAATCATTTCATCAGTCAAAACACTACTTTTAATTTTGGTTCCCATCTGTTAAAAAAAGAAATAGGTGTATACCATTAAATTAAATCAAATCAAATCGAATCAAAAAAAATATTATTTTATAATAGTATATATGTATGAACCTGAGTAAGGAGAGCATATAAAGGCAATATGACATATCCACAAAGAAAATGAACAAGCACTCCCATAACAAGCCTTGTCACAATATCTACTGTTTTATGGTGGAAGCAAGAATTTAACCCATAATTGTACTGTTCAACTAACAATTAAAAACAACAAGTTAGTTAAGAATCTTATTTAAAATGCTAATTAAGTTTGATATTTGTTGAAATAATATTTGATAAGTAAGTTCGATCTTCAATTCATATATATCAAGGGGATTCAATAGCTTATATAAATAACATAAAATCATAACGCTTACCGTTGTCCATGCAAAAAATGCCAACTGAAACGAGTTCTGAAGATTTTTTTTTTCGAAAAATAACGAATTGAAATGAATAAGTATATAAATATAGAATTGAATAATAAAGAGGTGAAAATTAAAATAGTAGTACCTGAAAGAGGATGAAATGCATGAGAAGAAGAAGAAGTTTGGGTTTTCCAAACCAAAAGAATTGATCTTCAGGTTTAACCACTAAATTTCCTCTAATAACACTTGACTTATAATTGCTATCCAAACACATTTTTGTGATTATGCCTTGTAATTTTGTTCCAACAGCCACTAACATCTGTGTTTATTTCATAGGAAAAAGACAATACATGTTAAGGGATAAGCCAACTTTATCTGATTAAATATGTCACGTCAGCACAAAAGGTGTATACAAATATAGAAAAATTGAGTTCAAAAGATAATAGAATCCGAACTAAGTTAAGATATCAATCATAGTTTACTTGTACTAATGCCTTATCCCTATATATATCTAATCACTAATTTTTAATTACATAAAGGGTAAGTAGGGATCGGAAGGGTATTTATTAGGGAAGCAAATTACAAGGTGGAGAGTCAAATCTTTAAATAATGTGAAATTCAGATAGTCAATCAATTGAGCTTACTAAGATCTCGACACTGATAATTTTCATTTATAAATATTTTTTTTTCCTTTGAATAAAATTTGCTTACCGCTAGAGGAATGAAAGGAAGCCAATAGGTGCTATGGAACACTACAAAAATAAACAAATGAAAATTAATAATATACTAATAAATTTTGGTGACAATTTTGTGACAGTTGTTACAATATTTACCATTTGCATTGAAGAATATGAAGAGCATAGAAAAGGTCCAAATCCATGGGCTGCATCAACAACAACAAAAAAAATGTAATTAGCTACTTAATTAAATTATGAAAAATGCATTTTTCCACATATATAATAACGTTACCTAATTGCCACGACAACTTGAAAATCTTTATCTAAAGCTCTTCTTATATACTTGTGAAAATCAAACTCTGTTCCTTCAGCAAAATGTGCCTAATAAATAAAAATTAAAGAGAAGTAAGTATATGCCTTAATCTCACATATTGTAATTAATTCATCATACATTAAAAAAGAAAAAAAAGGTTTTGTAAATACCATTATGAATCCATGCCGGAGAGTTAAGTAGTCTACTTTATATACTGATCCATAAAATTGCCTCAACAAACAAACCTGGCTAGCACAAAAAAGTAAAAAGAACGGTTGAAAATATAATTAAATAATTAAAATGTTATTTTTAAATATTTAAATTTTTAAATAAGATAATTACACACTTTAACATAATATCAGAGCAGACAAAATTAAGTTAGTTACGTACTGGGAAACGTAGAAAGCGGTGTTCACTCCAAAAATTGAGATGCCTCTTTCCGAATGATGTTTGATGAATTAGTTGAAACCTCCTTGGATCTATAAAAAAACATTAAATAATTAGACACCAATTAAAAAGTGGAAGATTTTGTTTATTATCAATATAGAAAATTGTGATTTCTTTTGTTTCAATTTGTATATTATGATTTTGATATGGAGTTTATGAAAGAAAAGAGATTTTTCGAATTTATAATCATAAATTAAAGATATATTCAAATATGCTAAAATCCTAAACATATATAAAAAGTTGAAATTAAAAAAATAATCAAAATGAAAAGAAATGTTTAAACGAACTAAACCAAACATGAAAGAAGAAAAAAAACACCCTCACGTCTTTGTTTGAAATTGTCATTATTATATATGTTGAAAGTTCAGAGTGTTAAATTTCTATGTACATATTTAGATAATCATATCATTGAAATTTAATTACAAATTACCTTATAAATAAGTCTACTCTCTATATAATATGTACGATTAAAAAAATTATGAAGAAACATACTATAATAGATTAAAATTTGTTTAGTAAAACCCTTTCTGTCCGTTCTTAATTGTCATGTTGTACTTTTTGAAAGTTAAATAGTTAAGTAATTTTCAAAGTTAAATTAAATTACATTAATTCGATATTTTAAACAAAAAATTTAGACATTTAAAAACTATATACAAAAAGTACTATAACTATAATTTTTTGCATATCAATATGATAAAAATTAATATCAAATAAACGTGGACATATAAAAAGAAATATTCGTTTATGGTACAGCTAACTTGCATCTTTTTTTTTCATGAAACATTTTCCTTATTAAGCCTATATCTTGGGACATAATAATTGTTCATATAATAATGTGTTTAGTTGAGACAAGAAATAAATGTCCCTACAGTATAGATAGACGACATGAATAATTGATGTTTAGTTGTTACTCTCCGGTTTCTAATTATTCGTGTACTTTTTCTTTTTTAATTATTTCTAATCACTTATAAATGGATTTGATTCCTCTCTATTTTTTTCTCTAAGTTCCTATTTGGATTAATGACACATGGCATAAGTTAAAATAAATAGTTAAGATTTAATGTTCAAAGTAAATCTCTAACCATGATTTAATTAATAAATACATTATATATTAAATATTAAAAATTATTTTAATATTACCTTCTTAGCAACATATTATCTTGTCCATAAATATAGGGGGGAAAATCTCTTTCTAAATTTCTTTTATACGTAAGGTTATTTTTAATTTTCTTTTAAATAATTTTTTTTATCTAATTTAAAAGAATAATTAACTCATTTTTATCTAATTTAAAAGAATAATTAACTGAATAGAAGTATAGAAACTATAATTAATCTACCGTATGTATTGGTATCACCATATTCGTAATCTTATTATAAAATTGAAATTAGTTTGTTCAAATAGTTTGATTATCTCTAGGTAATTTATTAATCACGGATTAATATGTTGTTAACAAAAGATTACAATAAAAATATTATATAAACGGAAAAAAAGAGAAGATCCTACGTAAAAAAATAAATAGAAAAAAAACTTATTTTTTCTATATTTATGAACAAGATAATATGTTGCTAAGATTGTGAGATTATAATGATTTTAATACTTGATATATAATAATTTAGGCTTCACCCCTCTCAATTAAGTAACCATATTAGTTTATCATTATATCCTTATTTAGTAGTATTCATTTGAATTCAAGTTTTCAATAAATAAACATGAATTAATTTACTTTGATTAATTAATTTAACAAATGAACATGAATTACTTGCTAAATAAGTCTTTTTATATTGGTCAACGGTATATACTTTCAAGGCTAATAGGTAAAATGGAATGCTTAATGTCATTTATGCATTGATTATGTGAAATGACAATTTTTGATAAAAACGACAAGTAAATAGGAATGAAAGGAATAATTCTAAATAATTAATATTTTACGTAAAAAAGATATTTAATTCTTTATTTCTAAATTGCCCTTGCCACATTTCATAACCCCTGTTAATTTTTTAGAATAAGTGTTTTCCTTGTCCAAACCTAAAATATTAATTATTTACCACAGGAGGATGTGACAGCTTACCATGTGAAAATTGATAATCTAAGGTTGTTGTTTCTGCCTCCCAAAATTTCCATCTGACCATTTACCAAAAAAAATTTAGTAAAAATTAACATACATATGATCAATGTCCAACTCAAGCTACGTATTCAATAGTTGACAAATTGTCTACAAGACTGACAATCACTAGCAAAAATAATAATGTTTCAAATATAAGACTTCGATTTCGATTTCCCTACTTCTTTGTTACTGTTGGTTTGGGATTTGATTATTCTCTACATAGTTATCAAAATGGTGATAATATATGTAGTAGTGTATTTTAGAAATTTTTGCAATGAAAAATCACTTTAAACAATCACAAAATAAGTAAAGGTGATTTTACTACACAACTAAAGTTTAATTAATTACCTTACGTGTTCCAAGGCTGAAGGTGAGGATGCAAGAAAGAATATGAAAGAAAGCAAGAGCAAATATTAAAAGCTGAAGCTGCTCTTGACATTAAAGATTTCTTTCCCTGAAAACACATAAAATATTACTAAAATAATCACTATTTTCCCTTTGAAAAATGTTTACACAAATATTTCAATAAGAATTTGTTTTTCAAGTGAGCTAGTTCGGTGGAAATAGTGTAGGAAAATCATGTTTCACAACAAAAATTTCCTGTTGATTCGCGATGAGAAAAGCAGCTAATTAATAAAAAAAAAGACCTGTTGTTCACAGTTTGACTCCTCCTCAACATCATCAGTTGTGAAGCTTTGGCAAGGAAGAAAAGTCTGAGCAGCACCCTTTGGAATACAAATTTTGGCAATAGGCTTTTGGAGAACATTCAGCAATAAAGAGATAAATCCCAAAAGCATCAACTCTTGAAACAAAAATTTTATATATACAAAAGTCAAGCAACCAGCTAGCTAGCTAAAACCAATTATATATTCAATTAGTAGTACCTGATTTGATATTGTTTAGTGCTTGAATCAAAGACTTCCTCCTCTTCTTGTTGAAGTAGTACAAGGTTAACAATCAAAATTTGAAGTTTGTCAGGAATAGTAAGTGTTGTTGTCGGGTTATAAATCCGAAAACAGTCTCATGCAAAAATACAAACATACCTTAGCTAAGAGATGAAGGACATGTTCTATAAGAATGGAAATAGTAATTAAAATGAAACACACAACAGCAATAGCCCATGTTGGTGTTGTCACAAGAGTTATGACTCTACTGTTGTTTGAACCTGCCATATAATATATGATGTGTCTGATTTTCTCAGGGGTAAAGATCTCTCTTTATTTAGGAATTTAATGAAAGAGAGAAAATGTCAGTATTATGGCAATTGAGTTGAAAAAATGGTTAGGTTTTGGTCAAAACCAAATAATATACGAAGGCCATGACGTTGTTGAGAAGTTGTACAATATTCTCGGTCTCGTTTTCTGTGACATGCAAATGAACATTTGCAAAGACCAACGGTAGCAAGCGCAGTAAAGAATATTAAAAGAGTATCAGACACCAACTCCTCGACTTTTTCAAGCCTATTATATTATTTTTCTGAGGTCAATCTTTTGGTGCCACACGAATTTTACGTAACAAACCTCAAATGCAACGTATAATAAATACAGTAGAGAAAATCAAGGGATGCAGGATTATCAAATAACAAACAGGAAACTATGTTAAGCTTGTTTAATTGCAGGAATATACATGACAATTCCTTACAAAATTCAGTACAGTATTGTGTTCCTGAGACGAGAGCTCCTACAACAAACTTACCGATTTATAGGAGCTCGAGTTAGTTCACAGCAAATCTAGACTAGGTAAATATACAAATACAGAAGTCATCTCAAGTAGAGTACAACTATCATACAGACATCTTTGATGCAGCAAACACAGCTTCCAATTGTTACATAGTACATCAGCGTCACAGGAACATATACACCAAATTTTCCTGCAATGTGAAACAACCATAAAGTCATGCTCTGAACCCATGTTATCAAAAGAAAAATTAAGGAACTGAAACCAAGCAACTGCTAAAGAGTGCTGGAAAACCAAACTGGGTCAGAGAGTATTCAAACAGAATCTCATTGAAAACAGAGTTAAATTTCTTCTCATAGAGTGAATCTTTAGTATTCAATCAAAAGTTAAACTTCAGGTAATCTACAGCTGTGCTCCCCCGATAAACAAAAAGTAATTATTTATTGAAACTTTCATGAAATTATGCATTGAAAATATATGAAAGTAGATCAGTGAAATTTGTAGTGCAGGTACTTACAAGAACATACGTTCCTCAACGGTATCAATCTTCATTAATAACTCTCAATTCTCATCTCTGGATAAGCATTCTACTGGCAACCAAATGCTTGCGCACTCAACAGCCAGAAGATTACAACGCCAACTAAAAGCTAATAATCAATAATGCTGCACACACATCCTTCAGTCTACATATTCTAGCACAACCTCACAACAAACACCTGCTACAGAGCAATATCAAGAAGCACATCTCTTGCTGCATAGAGGTCATTTACTTTGGTAAAATTTGTCCCCACAACGTTAGTCATCAATGGTGGCCCCGGCTGCAACTTTCCATCACTGGAAGGGAGAAATGTAGTTTCTAGACCATGTGAGTATACAGCTTCAGAGGGAGTATCCGCTCTAGTTGCACTTATTTTACTCTCGGTCAAGGGGAACCCAAAGATCCTGCAACCAGTTTTACAAGTGGAAACTAAGTTTTGATTGCCTTTGAATGACGACTGTGTCCCAAGAGAAAGATATGAAAGTCCTGTTTGCTTTTGCTCCTTTAAGAAACCAAACGAGCTGATTCCTTGAGTACCTTCCTTCTGACTGATGTCCTCGGTATGTGAACCAGATGAGAGATACGGATACCTACAACAGTTCTCAGACAGATCTAACGAAGCCTGGTTAACAAGATCATGTTTATGATTGAACATAGCCTGGAACTTTGATGCTGGAGGGCTCGGATGCTGAAAATTGAGTGCAGAAGGCGGTGATGATGCTGAGACAGGATTAATTGGCTTGCAAGGAGTGTTATTATCCTGATTTGGAGCAGGCCACCTGTTTCCATGGTTTGGAACCTGAATACCGACAAAAATACCGGTCCTACTTTTCTCCTGCATTTGGATACCAGCTTGAGCTCTCCCATAAGGAGGGCTTGTAAAAATTTCTTGACCTTGCAAGACCTTATTGAATCGAAGAGATTCACTAAAGCCAATGCTTTCATGGGACTTGTCAGTGTCACCAAACAGGGGTCTGATGCTGTTTCCCATTCTAGATATCCCAGAACTAGGAAAACCAGGAAAGCATCTTGTGCCTGCTGGACGAGGACTCCGAGCATCAAGTCCGCCATAAGGAGCATGCATCCTCAAAATTTCTTGACCTTGCAAGACCTTCTGGAACCTAGAAGGTTCCCCAAAGTCTGATACTGCAATTCCTTCTGTCAGAAATGAAGGCACAGACTAGTTATTAACATTGCAGAAGCATCATACTACTACAGAATTCAAGCAGAAATGAGATGTGTGAGTGCGTCTCTATATGCATGTGTTGTGTTGTGTGTGCCCTCAAGAGAGAGAGAGGGAATGCAGGGAAACCTCTAGGAATTGGAAAATCTGCCTTTGAAATAGGGAAGCCAACCCTGGTCCTCTTAGCAGAAGGCATCACCAAGCTGCTGGGCACAGGAGCTGAACCAGATGGCTCAATCTCCCATGGTGAAACCCTATTATGTCTAGAAACATCAAGATCATCCCATCTGACCTGAATTATCCATTCAGTAACACATTAATAGAGCAAAAATAAGTTTCTAGAGACATCAGAAAAACAACTGTTCAGATTAGAACCACTATTAAAGATGCCTAACTAAATCAACACTTTGTTTGGTCAAAAAACGGAGGGGGGTTGCATTAGCCAACTAATAAAGGATGAAGAAAGCAGAACTGACTGTTACATTACATTCCAAGGGGAGAATTATACACATGTAAGTCACCTCAATAAATTAAAGTGAACTTACCTAGAAGTGATCAAAAACATAGTCCTAAAAAGTATCAGTAGTAATTTCAATGTTGAGATACTTCTGCATGAATTTTCCGTAGTTGTAATTATATTGACAAATGAATACAAAAACTCTGAAACAACAAATCATGTGCTGTACTGTTTGCAAGTATAAAATAAACTTGGCAGTTTTAAAAAAAGGTTTCACATTTATTCGTGAAATCATTCCACCAGACACTTCATAAAGGAAATTCATAAGTTGAAAAAAGTTGCAAAACACTTGTGAGAACATTATCACATTTTGCAGCTATGTGAGCATATCCAGACCTAGTCTCCAGATTTTCACAAGTGATAACAAATACTACAGTTATAGAAAGATCTTTTCTTCATTTTTTATAACTACTTCTTTTGATAAATGAAAGTATTCATCAATCATAAAATGAATTTGGTTGCATTATGTTGGAATATGGTCAACCTAACGTCTTTAGATGTATATTATCTTATACATCCTTCGTTCACTTTTACTTGTCACAGTTAGACTTGGAATATAAATATTTTACCCAAACTATTTCTTATTAAATGATGCCTTAGAACATGATTTGGAAAATAAGTATTTAATATTGAGGGTAAAACATGGAAAAAAAACTATTGTTTCTTCTTGACATGTCAAAAGTGACGAGTAAAAATGCAAATCTATTTTAAGAATAAGTGGTGAGTAAAAGTAACGGAGGGAGTATTTCAGAATTAAAGTAAAAGACTAACAAAAAATAATTTAAGAAGTGGAAAAATCCAACGGTAACCAAAGCAACGGAAAAACGACTTAAACATCAAAAAACAAACTTACTAATCGAACTGCAAACACCCCTTACCTAGAAAAATAAATCTACATATGCAGACTATTCTTGCTTCCATTTTATCAATATATGAAACAGCAGAAACTAGGTAACATGAGCAAGGTCCTATTTATCTCAACCAAATAGAATATCAGCCCCCATACCTAACAACCATTTAACCTATGTGAGAAAAGAACTTGTCCTCTATCTACAATTACTTAACCAGATGTTAAGACTTAAGTGGTGTATTTAGGTTAAGCTTTATGCCATCAGAATACAAGGAGTGCAGGACAGGAAGCATACCAATAGGCACCTCCATTTAGAACCTGGCCATCGAACTGGATCTACATTGCTGACTCCCACAACTAGTCCAGTGAACCTGATACATACCCGTCAGATATTGATGTACAGTGTTTTGAATCACTAGAAGTGTAAACGACCACTTCTTGAACCAAGCCTAAGCGCACAAAAAAAAAAGTATAGTCTAACCTTTGCTCAGCTGCATCTTCTGTTTCGACACGCATTTTAAACCTCATTCCAGCTGAAAAGGGATGTGCAAGAGTCTTAGAGAATTTGTGGTAAGGTACAATGAAATCCGATGAGCTATCCCTGAAACAAAAAGATACAAAGGACTAAGAGAAAATGGACTGTGATGGACAAGTAGATTCTAGGATAGAAAGCAATGGCTTACAAAATAGACCAGAGTAAACATACTTAGTTCAGAAATCAAAACAAACTACTTATTATACTGGTGCTACAGAGACTTCATAGGACCTCAAACTAAGCCAATAAATAGCTCAATCTCATAGAAAAGTATAAAGAACTCCATTTCAAATATTGTGTTGATGGTAATCCTTTGTACATTGTCCGAAAAAGTCACTGATTTAAATTGTAGAGAAACATTCATCATATGGAAGTTGTAAGCGAGCAGAACCCAGCGCATTCAAATGCAGTAGAGGGGTACCCAAACTCCCATATCTAAGTGACAGCATCCTCCACTTTCATCATATAACAGTATCATGTCTATTTATGGAAAACTCTACTGTTCCCCCTAAAATCAATTGTTTTTAGACTGCACTCTAGCTTAGAGTAAGAGGTAAGATAATGATTAAAACCTCAAAGAAGAAATAGTTTTCCCTCATTGCAATCCACATGTAGCACTTCAACTCACATCCAGACAGTCGAACAACATTTGAAAATCAAGCTTTGAATTGCAGTAAATATACAAGCGGGTGAAAGTATAAGAAAAGGACACCATCACATGCATAAAGAAATTAATAGAACATCTGAATAAACTAGCATTGGAATAGCATAAGCTAAGATCTTTTTCAGAGATTGAATACCTTGGGTTGTAACAAATGTTGAAAGCATTTCTGCTAGATATAACGTTAACAGCATCTACAATGCCACTAACATTCAACGGTTTGCTACAAGGAGCCAGATAACTAGAACATGTTTTTGCTTGGGCAGCTCGTCTCACTCCTAACCTAAGCTCTCCATCACCAGTCCTACAGAAATAATGGGAACATGAGAAATAAAATAACAAAATGCTAACTTCTTCCCAGATGTAGCTTTTCACACCTCAAGAAAAGAACAGCGTCACCAGAAACAAGCTTCTTCTTGTTTACAAATGCACTCCATCCTGTAGTGAGCAGATGCCGCCGTGGCTGACCTGCAGTGAGAAAAAGTTCATTCA